TGAAGGGGTATCTTTTTTCTTACATAATTTTTAATCATATGATAAAATAAAATAATCAAGCAACCCATTTATTATACAAAAAAATTAGTTGTTTTTAAATATAGAGTAATTTCAGGAGCACATCGTCCTTTGTAATAAGGTTTTTTTTCAAGTTTAGTCCTTTAAACATAGTAATACAATGTTATGAGTGTGTTTGGTTGGACGGTCCCCGGGGACTAATTCATCTCCAATGCAAGAAATTTGAAGTGAGACCCCACCTATTAGAGGAGAGAGAGAGGGGGGAGTTGGGACTCTATATTTTTATTCAATGAACATGCTCTAAGGGTGGGTTGGGTGGCTACCTCGCAAGGGCCCATTTTTGAAGGAGCCCAAATATATGGAGCATGTAGCAGATAAATGTCCAACTTGGGAAGCAAAGCCTCGAACGTCGCTGGCCAAGAGCCTTTGAAAGAATATGAACACACTAATTTTCCATAGAAACAAGAGATGTGCCAATCGGACCACATAGCAATTCGTCACAAACAAAATGACAGTCAATCTCAATATATTTAGTGCACTCATGAAATACGAGATTGACAACAATATGGAATGCAATAGTACTATCACAAAAAAATTACATAGGTGAAGAAGAGGGAACATCAAGAAAATGCAATAAGCCTCGAAGCCATTTGAGCAGACATGTCAAAATAGCTAGGGAACGATACTCAGGATCTAAAGAATACATGTCATTGTAGGTTGTTTCTTGGTTTTCTAGAAGACTAGGACACACCCAACCAGACAAATCAACTAGTCATAGAGTGATGTGTCAATGGACAAGTAGCCCAATCTGAATCACACCATCAAGTTAAATGAAGAAAACTATCAGATTGTAAAAGTATTCCATGCCCCCAGGGGCCTTTAATATATCAAACCACCCCCAAAGGTACATTCTAGTGATCTGTCTTTTGCTCATGAAGAACTGAGCCTAAGTATGGACTATATAAGACAAATATGGATGAATCACAAACAAATATAGTAGATGTCCGACCAAGTGACAATATGCACTTGGTCGTCTAAAAGAGGTTCGGGTGCAAGAGCAAGCTTGTGATTGAACTCCAAAGGAGTGCACAATTTTGAACATCCTACTAAATATGTCTAAGAAGAGCATACCTCCTCTGTCAAAGAAATATACATGTGGTGTTCTGTAAAACTTCAACACTTAGAAAGCATTTTAAAACACCCAAATATTTCATGTGAAAACAGTTAGATAATATTTGCAAAAAACACCATATCGTCAAGATAAACACAAACATTCACGACAAAGCTTCCTTTGTGAAAAGAAAAATAAGAGTAACACGAATAAGACTGGACAAATCCATACCTCCAAAGTGCTCTAGACAATTTGGCAAACCAGCATCGTGATGCCTGCTTCAAGCCATAAAGTGACTTATCAAACTAAAAAACCAAGTCTGGCCCGTGAGAACCAAAATCAAGAGGTTGTGTCTTGTATACTTCTTCTATCAAATCACCATAAAGAGAAGCATTGTGAACATCCATATAATGCAACTCCTAGTTATGTATAGTAGCAATCGAAAGAAGAACACGGCCAGTAGTGAGAGTTTGACAACCAAGGCAAAGGTCTCTTGGTAGTTAATGCCTTTAGCCTAATGGTTTCCCAAGATGACCAGTTGTGCTTTATATCTTTCCATTGATCCGTCAAAATTCCATTTGATGTAATAGATCCATTTACATCCTAATGCCTTGTTTTGATGTGGCAAGGAAACAAGTTTCCACGTGTCATTCCTTTCAAGCGCATCAATCTCCTCAGTCTGGCCTTCCTCTAATGATGCGACTCAATGGAATCTGTTTAGAAAAGTGGTTTAGGAAAAAACACTATGCATTCCCTAGTTGTGACCCCGAATGAGGGAAGATGTTTATTCGACGATGGTAGATGGTTCTTCTAATGATAGCGGCTCGGACCAGTGATGAGTGTTCGGTGGACGTTGTGGAGATCTATTGAACGTCAATCATTATTCAAGAGGAGATGGCAGCGGGTGCGTCTATTTGTATAAGAGAAGGGACGACAACACCCCCCACCACCCCTCGATGGTCCCCTAACATCATCATCATCATCCAATAAAGTTGTTTGTGATTTGTCCACGAAAGAGCCTAGACACGGAGAATTAAAATCCTGAAATGGAAAGGCATGCTCCCAAAATATTACATCACGAGAAATAATAAGGTTGCTAGTGTCTCAACAATAAACACACTATCATTTCTTCCCATGTGGATATCCCAAAAATCTACTTGGAAAACTATGTGACTCAAGTTTACCCGCACAGTGGTCGTCGTGATGAACATATCATAAAAAACCAAAATTCCGAATATGAGACAATATTAGTGACCAATCAAACATTACTTCGTAGGGTGTATTGCCATGCAAAATTGTATAGGGAGTTCGATTAATAAGATACGCAATGGTAAGAATACATTTGTTCCAGAATTTAATCAGGAGAAATGCCTAAAATCATAAGGCGTACACAACATTGAGAATGAATCGGTGTTTATGCTCAATCCTACCATTTTGTTATGGTGTCTCATGACAAGAAGTCCCATGCACAATGCCCTGCTGATTGAAGAAAGAATTGAGAGACTCAAACTCTGTTCCATTATCGCTTTGTACAATTTAAAACTTCTTATTCAATTGACGATCAAGCCAAGCATAAAATTGACGAAAAATCAAAGGTACATCGGATTTGGCACGCAAGAAATAATCCAAAGTTCCACGATAATAATCATCCACAATGGTTTAAAGGATGTAAAACCATCGAAACTAGGTGTCCTATAAGGAACCCACACATCAATGTGAATAACTTGATAGAGTTCCTTGCCTTTATTAAAACTTAGCATAAAAGATGCCCGACACTGCTTCGCACGTAATAAATATTGAAAGGTTTATTGTTCAAAATACTAGATTTATTATCTTTTTCAACAGGTAAAAGGATAACATTTTTTTAGATAGATGCCCAAGATGTTTATGCTAAAGATCAAAAATGATAGTGCACAACCCATTGATGTCTCTTAAAAAAAGTATAACCATTGGATTGTCTACCTGCACCAATCATCTACATCGTGATACAAACTTGGAATACATATAATTAGCCGTCGAATTTTACCTACCAGATAGTCTATGTCATCAACTGAGATACTGATTACCGATTACAACTCAAATCAGGCATGAACAAATCATTGTTTAAAGTGAAAGAGTCATTGAGTCTAACACAACTTAAAATAGTAGCTCCCACACTCTTCCCATCTGGCAAATGAATCCAACATCTCGATATAAGATGTACGTCAAACAAACACTTCAATTAAATCTTCTTCCATATGATTTACAACACTCGTATCTATAATCCATCACTTAGTAGTGGAATACCTAACAAATTTTTGACGAGCCATTGTTCACGGATGCCAAGAGTGCCCAAACCATCTCCCACTGCTCAGTGGAGAGGAAAGAAGCCACTTCCCCATTGGAACTCTCTCTCAACTTTTAGGCATCTCGACTACTAGCACGTGTGCAGCATGTGGCTGATGTCCCCCAGCACCCCTAGAGGCAGTGTTACTAGGTCCTATTGGAACTCTCGCTAATTCTTTTTATTAATATTTCTTATAGAATAATGAAACTTGAGTATTATTAGGTCCTAAGAGTATAATACATTGAGATATTATTAATTTAGGAAATATATAATAACTTATGATTTATTAAACATAGATATATTGCTATGTTAACCCCCCCCCCCCCAGCAGAGCAGCATGAACGAGTGAAAGCTTGGATATGATGCATCTAAAAGACATATCCTCATCGATCACAAACGTAAGACATCACCAAACTTCTCTTCCGAAAAACATTGTGAGTGGTTCATAGTGCCAACCATACCCTCATTGATCACAAACGTAACAAAGAGACAATTTATCCCATCATGCTTCATACGATCATGATGAACTAGTTTTTTCATCACACGGATGGTGAATTCATTATCACAACGAGGTTTTGGTTTTTGAATGGGAATATGAAGAGTATCTATAATATAAGTAAGCCAAATTAACTTAACAATACTATGAGCTGTACCATAATATTCAACCTTCATAGACGAGCGAGACATGTGTTGGTTCTTCTTGGTGGACCATGGTAGAAGGTTTTAGACCAAAAAAATTATGTAGCAGATCACCATAAGAGTTTATAGCCATGGGTGTCGCCATTGGCATGTTGAGTGTTACTTCAAAGTCCCACATCGGTGGGATAGGAAAATTGAGGAGGGATTGGAGCCTATAAATAAAGAGGAGATATAGGCTTCCATCACACAACACAATCCTTCAATCTATATAATTGTGTATTAAATTTTAGGTTGCGAGTGTCAAATATTGAAGAGGGTTTGTAATTTTTCTGTGCAAAAATTACTAGTGAGATTTTATCCCAGAGGGGTCGTGGAGTAGGTCTTGAGGTGCCGTACCACGTTAAAAATTGTGTGCTCCTTTTTTTTTCCTTTTCTTTCCATTTGTTTGGAGTGGGGGCCTAACAAGTGGTATCAGAGCCAAGGTGCAGAGCTCGGGTGATCTGGTAATTATAATTCTTAGTATGCTCTGTGGTTGCAGCTTTGACTGATCTTCCACATCAGAAAAGAGTTATTAATTACAGAGTTGCAGTCTAGGGAGGAAGGAGATAGAGCAAGGAGCAAGAGGAGGGCGTGCCACTTCAGTGGAGGAGGTGGTGGTCCAGTCAGCAGAGGTAGGTCCGTGAGTGCCACGTCAGTAGTCTGTGGGTCCGAGTTCCAGGTCATCATCCAGTCAGTGCCACATCAGTAGGTCCAGTCATCGTGTGGGTCCCACTGGTGACTTTCGGAGAGACATTGGTTCTGACTAATTTTGATGTCCTGATTCCATTTTTGAGGCCAGTTTCCTCAAATTTGGATTGTTTGGTATTGGTTGATTGCTGCTTGAGTGGAACTATGACTACCTTGAAGTTTGAAGTTCCGTTATTTGATGGAAGAGCGGACTTCATGTTGTGGCAATGCACGATTCAAGACTATCTGGTCCAGCAAGGTCTTGATTTAGCATTGCAAGATGAGAAGCCAAGTGATATGAAAGAATCAGAGTGGAGTACAATCCAGAAGAAGGCTGTCAGCACAATTCGGTTGGCATTGTCCCCACAGATTAAAGTGACAGTGCTGAAAGAGACATCACCAAAGAAGCTGTGGGAAACGTTGGAGAGCAAGTTTGCGTCGAAGACACTTACTAACCGGTTGATGATGAGGATGGACTTGTACTCACTGAAGATGGAAGAGGGAGGTAGCGTAATTGATCACATCAACAAGTTTAATGAGCAAGTATCAAGGCTGTTAAATGCAGGGGAGACTATCAAGGATGAAGAGCAAGGGCTGCTTCTACTGGCTTCACTACCAAAATCCTTTAAGCCGTTTGTGCAGTCAATGATAGCAGGAAGGACTACACTGCGACTAGATGAGGTGACGACTGCCTTGAAGGAGAGTCAAAGGATGATGGGAGGTGAAGAGTCTTCCGGGGACAGTCATTTACTAGCTG